ACGCTGCCTGAGTTCCCCGACACACCGGGGACACATGTTGATGTAGGAAACACATCAAAAAGTGCATTTTGCATGATAGGTCCCCTTTAAATTAGCAAATCAAGTTTTTCCCTAACAGTGGTAAAAGGGTAGCTTTATGAAGTCTAAAAGAAAGTGTAAAATATGTGAAAAGTCTTCAAGATAGTGAGTTAAAAGTCTGTTATTTTAAATAACATACTAATATTATAATGAAAATAATGAGAAATGTGTCTCCTTTAGTAATTTTTTTAAGCTATTTAATATGATACGTAGTTTTTATAATGAAGAGTCTTGATTGTTACCATTAGCTTAAGATATTAGTCCAGTCAGTCCAAATCAATGCATTGTATCATACACTGGACCAGTAGAAGAGTATTGTGTTTTTGTCAAGTCTTGGACCTTCTCAATATAACTATAATGACGGTATGTTATTGAATTACAGTTTCCAGATTCAGAAGAGGCCCATGAGTCTCTTTGCAATTATCAGCAGATGTACCCACGTGCAGTAAAACTGACCCAATGTGAGAGGAAGCAGAAAGAGGCTGAGTAGATTATAATCACCATTATAGAGGTTCGTGTGTTGGCTAAATGTATGTGCGTCCATGTGCAGACGTATGTATGCTTTGTTAATTGGGAAGTTCATATCCTAACTAAGTCTGAATTATACCTGAAGACGTCATGAGATAATGAACTTTCGACATCTGGAAACATACTGTACATGTTGCTCTGATGTTGGTGCGTCCATTTGGAAAACATGATGTTCGTGTGTTAGTTAAACATGGTTAGGGAAAATGAGTGTGTGTTCATTACAGCTGCTATATAGGCTGTGTGAAACTTCTACTTTGTTGGAGCATCACTATCCAGGGTATACGCAGGAATCCTGAAGTCACATGTAGGACCTTTTCTCAGACCCTTTCCATACATTTTAAGACCTCATCGCCTCTTCGAGTTCTAACCGGTTACCTTGGCGACACACTTTACCTCACATTGACTATATACAGTATTGATTGTCCTTCCTCCTTATCTTCCAACCATTTGGACGCAGACTTGCATTTCCCCATAACGATGTTGTTTAACAACCGGCGTAAACGGACCTTCGTGTGCTATCAAGCAGTGAGTGTTCGATGTCCTGTTCAGATGACGTCAAATCCAACGGGATGCAATAAATAAACTACACAGAATCACACTACACACCTACGCAATGATTACATTCAGGCACACTGTAGAATACAACCTCTTTGGACCATTTATATACTTATTGAAAACAAGCTACAAAATGTAATACCTTGGAAAATGCCCTTTAATACTTTTTAATAGCCTTGATCTTCGCTAAATTGATTCAACTCTTAATACTTTTTAAGACCCCCTGCTATCACTGCTTGAGAGCAAAGGTAATGTTTCCTCATTATTATTGTTTGTTGTGCAACGAAATAATAATTGATGAACTATATCTGTGTTTGTGTTTTATTGATTCCTCTCTGTTTCATTCTTTCCTGTTGTGAGTGATAAATTGCCACAACATTTTAGTCCAGCTTCTATTCTATATAAATATTAAGAGGAATAAGCTTCTGTATCACCACACAACTTCCTAAAAGTACATTTTTTAATGAAAAAATTCGGACACCATTAATTTCACAATATCATCACATTTATTTAATTATATTTACATATGAACATGTGTTTATTTAAAGGTCACATCCTTCTCTGTCTCTGAGTCTCTTTGGCACGTCTTCACAATTAATCCAGGGGTTTCATTTACAAACTGCTTCCACTTCCTGTCGTCCTGCGCAACAGTAGCACCACAGAAGAAGAAGAATCAGCTTCCTTCAATTCCTGTAGTTCTTTGATCATGTTTGGAGTTCAGTCGGAGCCGTCCTGGTTCTCAAGGATTGGATCTGAGGACAGAGACAGAACCATGTGACAAATAAAAACTCAAAATGTGTCCGTGTCAGAAAGTCAGTATGAAAGGGAATCTATTGTTATTAAAAAAAAAAAGCTATATCAACTTTAAATGATAAAATAACATGCTCTATTCCTTCTACTACGCTACAGAGAAAGAGGATGAAGTAGAATTTCTGTTGATGTTTTGAAATTGGATTTGAGACAGAATAATTAGCAATAATATACAAAACTGTCAAGCAACAATAAACCTTGAGTTTGTAACTAATGAGATGTTTGTTACCAGTCAGGGTGCTGCTGATGTTTGGAGACACAATCAGCACGGTGCTGCTGATGTTTGGAGATACAATCAGCACGGTGCTGCCAGACGGTGAACTTAACTCCTACACACACACACACACACACACACACACACACACACACACACACACACACACACACACACACACACACACACACACACACACACACACACACACACACACACACACACACACACACACACACAGCATAATGTAAGTATTGATCGTGGTTCATTATGGGCAGTGTTCAGGTAGACTGACAGAGAGACAGATACAGATAGATTTTAAATTGAAAATATTTTAATTAAACTTCTTTCCAAATGTGTAATGGGCAGCTATATACGTTACTAGGTTGGAATATGTAAATAAATACTATACTGGTAATTATATATTTATAATTTTTACAAACATCTTAAAGAAAATGTACCTTGTCAGTGAAGCCTTCTGTGATTGGCTCCTGAGTTTCGGCGACAACGCTCACAGAACCCTCAAGGAGACTCTCGTTGCCGAGGCGATCCTCCTGGTTCTGCCCCTCTTCCTCCAGCTGTGATTGGCCGAGAGGGTCTGAGGAGGCGGAGTCAGATGTGACCGTTTGGATGATGACACCGTCGCTAGAACAGAGGCCGTCAGTCTGAGCAGGAAACACAGAAAATGATCCCATAAAAAATACTTATTATGTATTTTCACATATTATCAGTGCTGGAAGAAGTATTCAGGTCATTCACTTAGGTAAAAGTACTAATACCAAACAATTTGTATTGTATTTATAAACAAATAAAATGTAGTAAAAGTACAACACAATATTTCCCTTTGAAAATTAGTGGAATACTTAAGTACAAGTACCTCAATAGTTACTTTCCGACAATTATACACGTGTTCCTATTTATACGTATTATTACTGACCGACAGGCTGTGCAGGATGATGTGTTCGTGTGATGAGGGGGAGGAGCCTGTCGTCAGGGTAACCGTGCTGTTATTGCCTAAACTCAGGCCCTGATTGGACGTCGTCTGCAGGAAGTAAGTCCCCGGGGTTCCTGTGGGCTGCAGGTGGAACGACTGGAAAACAAATACATACAAAATATAAAAACAGAGCAGTGATTCGGACACTTTTCTTTCATGAACAATTTGCTAAGACTTAAATTACATAGTTGTGTCAGATAGCTAGCATCTTATTCCAGACGGCTAGCATCTACTAACAGCAGATTTATCGGTATATTTATTATATGATGTGTGAATTTGTGTTGTGTTTACAGGCATGATCTCAAAGGTCTGCATGGCTCCGGTGATGGTTTCACTATCGTTGGCTGCTGCTGACGAATCTGTAGCTTAACGAGACACAGCAAATAAGTACATCAAAAATAGGAGGGTGTTGTCAGCGTAAAGAGACATTTTTTTGGGATTAAATCTTCCTCTCTTTCTCACCCAGGTGTGTGATCTGTACGGGAATCTGCAGCGCCGCCACAGAGGAGGGGGCGGGGCTTCCACTGCTCTCGTCCAATCGGTTGAATCGGATCTGCAGCGAGGAGGAAGAAGAAGAGGAGGGACTTCCAGATTGTGAAGAAGCGATGAGCTCCCGTAGACCCTTTAGGAGGACTGAGCACACACACACACACACAGACACACACAGACAGACAGACAGACAGACAGACAGACAGACAGACAGACAGACAGACAGACAGACAGACAGACAGACAGACAGACAGACAGACAGACAGACAGACAGACACACACACACACACACAGGTTATTAGAGAGCAATTCTTACATTCATTTTAACGCATTAGTCACATTTATTCTAGTGAAATAAACATGTATCTTTGTTTCATAATTATGTATATTTTACCACAATTTTAGTGTAATTTCTTATATTTATTCTAGTGCGATTCTAACATAAATGTCAGTGCTGCTGAGCTGTGTGTTGTACCGTTGAAGGGGATCTCCTTGTGGTTGGACACTTGTCTCTTGATGCTCCACCACTTGGATCGAAGCCACTGAGGCGACCGAACGCTGCTCCAGCCGCCGGCCAGATCCTCCCACTTGATCTCGTTCTCCTCCTCCACCTGCAGCTCCAATATCCTGGAACACACAGTTTATAACTCATATTGTCATAGAAGGTTTTCAAACCATTTTCAAGGCATTTTTCTTACATTTTCAACATAATTTTGCAATTTTTTTATATATTTTTGAGGGCATTTTTTAACGTATTTGTCCTGATTTTACACGTGTAGATGTTACATTACATGTTACTTGTTAGATGCTTTTATCCAAAGCGACTTATATACTCAATACTGTGGGCAATCCCCACAGGAGCTATTTGGGGTGGAGTGTCTCAGGGACACAACGACATGCAGTGGGGTTTGAACCTGTACCTGTTGAACACTGCACCACACGCCTCCCATGTTCAAGGTTATACTCATTTTGAGTCCTATTTATATACTTGATGGCTGGTTTAAATCAGCAGCAATGCATCATATTCTTTAAGATCATCATATTAGTTTTTTTATATAATTTTTTCTTGTTCTTACGGAAATCTTTCGTGGGATTTTTCAAATAAATCCACATTTTTCAATGTACTTTCTCAACATTTTCCGACAATTTTTAAATATTTCTTTGGAACGTTTAGAGACATATTCAGACATTAGTTTATACATTTTTCAGGATTTTTTTCTAGGTATTGTTCAGACTTTATTCTATGTTGCTATCCTGTGAGAACCGCGTTTCTCTGAACAGTGTTTTTAGAGTTTCTCAGGACAGCAGCTTGTTCTCACCTTTGTGTCGATGCAGCTGATCAAAGAGGCTTTTTAAAGATGAACAATGCCCTCTCCCCTTTTATTCAAATATCTTTTGCTTTTCTACAATTTTAAAGCCATTACATTTTGGGTTGGATTTGTCTATGATTCGTGTAACTAGAACCCAACTGATGACTCCCATACAGTTATGATTAACTCACCACGTAGACATATTCAGACTCATATTTCTTGGTCAATATTTTAAACATGTTTCAGGTATTTTACAGTGTTTTTAAAGTTTCTCAGAAGAACAGCCTGTTTTCAGCTTTGTGTCGATACAGCGGATCAAAGCGGTTTTTTAAACACTTAATTTATTTTAAAGATAAGCAGAATCTCCTCTCCACGTAGAGTAAAACCCGCTCTGGTTACCTGCGTATGAGGTTGACGTCGTCCTCCTTCATCCACTCCGTCCCGCCGCTGTGTTTCCAGTTCAGGTAGTTTAACCACTTCGACCGACACTGTTTTTCGGACCTCGTTCGCACAAGATCGGCCACCGTTGCCCAGGAAACGCCTCCCGTCACCGCCAAGCCCGGCTTCACGCCCGACATCTCGTACACGACCTCAGCGAGCCGCCGCTCCTCCTCCTCCGTCCATTTACCTGAGGAAAAAAAACGAATTAAGTTTAACCAAGACAAGATGCAGAGGCTTTGGTTCGGACAGTTTTGGAGACCAAAGTAGTGAATTTACGAGAAAAGTATGGGGGAGATAATTTGAATATTTTATAAAGTTTGGAAGTCATAATTATGCATCAAAATTACAGTTAAATTTATTTAAAAATAAACAGATTTCTTACTAAAATTTGGATATTTTAAGGAAGAAATCTATGTAGAAAAGAAAAAAAAGTTCCTACATTTAAAAAACACTCATTACTTTTGTAATAGTTTTCTTTCTTTATAGTCTCAGAATATCAAAGTCGTGAATTTACGAGGAGATTATTTGAATATTTTATAAAGTTTGGAAGTCATAATTATGCAGCAAAAACACAACAAAATAAATCAGAATAAAATTTAAAAACTGAGATTTTATAGGTGCTTTCACACCAAGTACTTTTCCCAGGAATAGCTCCCGGACCTTAGTTCCCCGGAAATCTTTAATTCCTGAACTATCTAGCAGATCGCGTTCACACCGGAATAAGTCCCTGAGGTAAGATTAGTCAAATGAACCCGCTGACGTCACTTCTTCTTGTTCTGCTTTGGGTTTACTGGCAGGCCGCAAACAACTTCACGGCGTATACTGCCACCCGAAGTTAGTCTCTCTCCGTTTGTGCTCTGGGCTAATGCTAATGCTAATAATGCTAATGCAAGCAAATAAAATGGCGGCTTCACAAAACTTTTCTTAGTTTTACGGGGTACGTGGTTTGCAATT